CCCCCCGGGCCTCCGCCCCGGCCGCCGGCCAGCGCTTGGCGCGCTAAGGGAGCGAGTGAGGCGGTGGCAAGGCCGGTGGGGGAGCGGGCGGGCCCCAGGGAGGAGAATCCGCACGTCACGCTCGGGGAAGCGCCTCCCCGAGCCACTGCCTTCTCCCAGCCTGGCCGCGCGGCCTGACGTCACAATGCCCGCGCCGCGCCTGCGCGCCCTGGCCGCACCCCCTTAGCCCCCGCCCTCTGTCACCTTCCCCAGGTGAGACGCGCATGCGTGGACGAGGTGGCGCGCGGAGGGCGGCTGATGCGCTGTCCCCGTCTGCCCCCTAATGGTAAGAGAATGAAAACAAAAGGAAAAGATGAAGGGTGAATTTGAATTGGAGGGTCGCATAACAATGTGAATGTACTTAATGCCACTGAACTGTACACTTAAAAATTATTAGAATAGGGGTTCGCTGGGTGGCCTAGCAGTTCAGTTCCCGCATTCTGCTTCAGGAGCCCGGCTTCACCGGTTTGGATCCTGGGCGAGGACATACCGCTTATCAGGCCATGCTGAGGCGGCGTCCCACATGGACGAGCTACAACTCTACAACTATGATCCACAACTATATATTGGGGCTTTGGGGAGAAAAAAGAAAAAGAGGAAGATTGGCAACAGATGTTAGCGCAGGGCCAATCTTCCTCAAAAGAAAATTATTAAGTGTAAAAGTGGATTTAAATGTAAAAATCCTTTGCCCCAAAATGGATTTGCAATAATCATTTTAAAATTCTCTACCCCAAAATGAATTCATATTCAAAATCTTTTTTTTTTTTTTTTGAGGAAGTCTAGCTAACATCTGATGCCAATCCTCCTCTTTTTGGTGAGGAAGATTGGCTCTGGGCTAACATCCGTGCCCATGTTCATCTGCTTTACATAGGAAGCCGCCACAGCATGGCTTGACGAGTGGTGCATCTGTCCTTGCCCGGGATCCGAACCTGCGAACCCCAGGTCGCCAAAGAGCGTGTGAACTCAACCACTATGCCACCAGGCCAGCCCCTCAAAATCATTTTTTAATCTTCATTTTATTTATCTATAAGAAGATTATAAATCACAGAGGACATTTCTAGTATTGTTACTATGACTATTATTTTTATTTTGTGTGTGAAGATTGGCCCTGTGCCAACATCTGTTGCCAATCTTCCTCTTTTTTCTTTTTTCTCCCCAAAGCACCAGTACATAGTTGTGTATCATAGTTGCAGAGTTATAGCCTCTCTATGTGAGACACTGCCTCAGCATGGCTTGATGAGTGGTGAGTACGTCCACGCCCAGGATCCAAACCGGCGAACCGGGGCTGCCAAAGCAGAACGTGCCAACTTAACCACCACGCCACCGGGCCGGCCCCACTATGACTATTATTTAGTATAATCATTTTTCTTAAATGTTTACTGTATAAAAAGAATCGTACGTTTTGATACTCAGTACTACCGTATTTACTATCCATTGTGTTTTGGGCCAAGACCATTTTAAATAGATATTTGAGGGTTTTTAGCGTTTGGCTAGTTTTATCATTATTATTAAAATAATAGTTTTCAAAGCATTTCCACAAACCTTTAGTTCCCCTTATTTTTGCAGCATTACATTTTGCCACATTTATCATTGACATTAAAAAACTCACTTCCCTTTTTTTGTAAGCTATTTTTTCCTTTCAGTGCACAGTGGATGCTATCTTTAAGGACTGCAGAACACATGCCACTGAATTATCGTTGTTTTTCAAGCTATCCTCCCCAAAAAGCAAAATGAACGCTTCTTTATACAGTATTTAGGAAAATAATTTGAAGATTTTAAAGGCTAGAATCTTCACTGGAAGATGTGCCAAAAGAAACAAAATCAATCTGACAATATGTAAACAGGTTTGGAGATCAGCTAAATTTATTTTTAGATTTTCACTGGTGGAAAATTGGGCAGTCCTGTTTATTAGAATTATGTTGAAAGACCAGATGGGCTGTGGTGATGTAACATATATATATATTTCCTCCTTGGTTACTCATTTCTTTGTCTCTAAATGCCATTGAGGCAATGAGGCATTTTTAACAAGCTATTCAGTTGCCATAAACAATGGCAAACGAAATTACCACAAAACTAAACTGAGCAAGGTAAGAAGCCTGTTGTAGTTAGACATAATGAGAGGCCAAGGAGAACACACAGGAACACTAACAACACTTGAGGTTTAAATATATATCAAGGTTAACTAGTTCCAAGCTACAGACTACGCTGGTAAATCAGTCTAGCCTCCTGACCTAACGTTTAACTCAGCCCCAATTTTCTGGCATCTCTGGGAAGACATTCTGCTAATTATAATTTGAGAAACACACAGACAGAACTAATTATAAGTCAGTGTGAAAAGTATTTTCATAGCAGTACAAAGAGTTATGAGAGGAGGGAGGAGAAATGCGGCCAAGGCAAATAGGAAAATAATTTTATTCATAATCGATCAACAGAATCCAGGTGATTTGCCTACAATTTTCCCTCCTGCCTTCAGAGCAGCGTCTCAGGTGAGGGAAATAGTAAAGCCTTTTTTGTTTTCAGCACGACCTGGTGAGAAAAGCACAGGGGAGCAGGGTTCCAGGTTCAGTAACTTCTCAGTGCCCAGTGACCTGGTTCTGTAGAATGAGGATCAGGACACTCATCCTATGGTATTTGTGAGAAATAAATGAGATCAGGTGTGCACAGCATCCGGCACAGTCCTAGGCAGATAGAAGGGACCCAGAAAGTGGTAGCTACTTTCATACTCAGATCCCTTGAGTCCTTAGACAGAATACAAGTTCAGGGGATCTATTAATAATCATTATAATTAATAATGTTGAACTACGGCACGCAAGCACCCAAAAGAATGAGACAACTTGGTTATGCTGCTGGAAGAGGGGATGGACACAAATGACCCAAAATGTCAGCCAGAAATAATTTATATTCCTTTGCTCATTCCCGTGGAGACCTGGAAGGGTGGGGTGGATTTCAACACATGAGCTCAGTCGCCATTTTAAGAAAATGCAAGTTTCTAGTCTCCCACTGAAGGGCTCTTTCCAGGCACCTGACACATGACTTCAACAGATCAGGGTCAACCTGAGTCCTTGACATAGTGCTAGTATGGAGTCATTCTTGATGCTAAGTAAAAAAAACTAAAGAGGACAAAAATATCCATAGAATGCCACTATTTAGCTAAGAAAGGGAGACGGATACAAATATATACACATACATATTTGTGGGTTTTGTTGGGTCTTTTGTTTGTTTATTATTTAAATAAAAGGATAAACCATAAATTAGTTTTAAAGTGGTTACTTGTAGTGAGAGGGAGGGAATAGGGTCAAGAATATGGAGAGGGGCTGGCCCGGTGGCGTGGTGGTTAAGTTCGTGTACTCTGCTTCAGTGACCCAGGGTTCACAGGTTTGGATCCTGGGCACAGACCTACACAGCACTCATCAAGCCGTGCTGTGGTGGCATCTCATATACAAAAGTGGAGGAAGATTGGCACAGATGTCAGCTCAGGTCCAGTCTTTCTCAAGCAAAAAGAGGAAGATTGGCAACAGATGTTAGCTCAGAGCCAATCTTCCTACCCCCCCCCAAAAAAGAATAGGGAGATAAAGGCTATACTTCTCTCAATATACCTCATTTTGTAGAATTTGAGTTTGGAACCGTGTAACTATTTTACACAATTATAAAACAAAATTAAAATTTTTAAAAATTCCTAAAAACCAAAAGCAAAATGAAACAAATGGACCTGTATATCCAGTTGGTGGCATAACAGAGAGAGGAGCTATTCCAGGAAACATTACAACTGTAATTTGACTGTACAAAAAAAACACACAAAAACTGCAATAAACTCCTGAACTATTTTCAGCAATCATATTGGTAGTGGCGTTAGTACTGTTATTCTGAAATGTGTGTGTTTGTATTGTAATGAGAAATGATGTTGGTGTTAAGAATAAGGAGTTTTGGCGTGGGAGAAAGTTGCCCATATAAGCTTGATGAGGTTAAATAAAAACGTTATTATCCTGAATTTGAATTGGAGGTTTGACTTGAACTCATATGCATTTATTTATCTTACAAATATGAATGTGTGTGTGTGTGTGTGTGTGTCCCAGCTCTCTTTACTGAAAAGGCTTAGGAATAGTGACCAACCTAGTAGCACTGAGCATCCCTAGTGCCCAGACTGGAGTCTCCAAATACCATTTCCCACTGAAAGGCAGATACCCAATCTGTGGCAGACAATGTACAAGATGAGCCTGGAACTTCCTGTTGCACCAGACAGCAAGGAAGTTCTCGTAGACTGCTAGAGTTGTGTCAGAAAGACTCAGGAACCAACTTGAAAAGGTTCTCACTGGCCAAAAATGGGACAATTTAAGCACCAATAAGGATAATAACACAATGGAATGCAACATATGGGAAAATCCCTGAATTCATTATGGATCTTATATTAGTCTCCTAGGGCTGCCGTAATAAATTAACACAAACTGAGTGGTTTAAAACAACAGAAACTTATTCTCTCACAGTTCCGGAGGCTACGAGTCCAAACTCAAGGTGTTGTCAGGGCCGTGTTCGCTCTGAAGGCTCTGAGGAAGAATTCTTTGTACTTTCCAGCCTCTAGTGGTTGCTGGCCATCCTTGGCACCCTAGGTTTGTAGCTGCATCGCTCCAATCTCTGCCTGTCTTCACATGGCCACCTTCCCTGTGTGTGTCCTCTCTTCTTGTAAGGACACCCACCCCTCTTTGAATGTAGTGCCAACCTTGCTCCAGTATGACCTCATCTTAA